AGCGAACATCAGGCAATTCTGGAACATGATAAAGCAATGCTGATGTCAATCCTTTTATGGAAAAAAAAGTTTTGGCTCAAAATCTATTATTCTTTTACTTCCTTCCTCACCTCCTTAGATAAGTTGAATGCTAGCTTAGTCTTCTGGTGAGAGCAGGAGGGAAAACCAGTGATGCTGACAGACCCTTCTGTGTTCAGATTTGAGACCCATCCTGCAGTCAGTCTTGTGCAGACTTCTGAAATCCCATGGGTGCTTGTGGAGCTGCATGCAGGCTTGCAGGTCTGTTTCTCCCTGGATTGGGTATAGGAGTAGGATCCGCAGAGCCGATCTCTGGAGTGAAGCTGGGGAAAGTGAAGCTTTTATTCCCATAGAAGAGAGTGGTGGTAAGAGATGGCCATTCTCCCATCAGCACTGCAAAGTGAATTTTGCTGAACAGCTTTCTGTTCCTGGAAGAATGGAAAATGATACAGAACCCGGTGGGTGGTTTTGGTTTTGCTTTTAGTGTCCTGCTCATCCTTTGAGGGGAAAGTGCATCGGTCCATGTGTGCAAAAAGGAAGTTTGGCTTATTAATTGGGGGTGAGGCAGAAGTGAGAGTGCCATGAACTTTGATAGCTGTATTAGAAGTAACAAATCACATGGGTAAATCGCCTTTTCCTAAACTTTCATTTCTGTACAGGTTTATATGAGTGCATCTTATTTTTGTGTAATCTCAGGGAGAGTAACCTGGGGCATCAAGAAAGGTAAATTAACGTTTACACTGATCTCAGTTCCTACTTGTAACCTCAACCTTGTATTTTTATTACGGAATTTTAACCTGACAGTCCGATCAAATTTCTCGGCAGAGGTTTTAGAAATATGTCATTGTTTCACTCTGCTCTGTGGCAAAGGTCAGTGTCTCTGAGGGACTGTTGACATTTTGCTGATATTTCATCAAGTTTGGTCCTACCACAGAGCTACCAGAGGCAAGTGATTGAAGCTGGAGAGGTGTACCGTAAGGAGAGCACGTGTTAACCCCCCAGCTGTATTGGCTGCACCCTGCTCCTTAGTGGCACTGTGGTGGAACCCCCATCTCTCATTAGTGAACCAGGCAAAGGATTAGGCAGAGCAGCACTTTGCTCCCTGTCTCCAAACACACAGGCATGCACACTTCTTTATCCCACAGTGTGTAGACCTCACAAGGTGCCCTGATCTATTTGCTACAGGTTGCAAATTGTTTGAGTTTGATAGCTTTGACTGTGGCTATTTCTTGCCAAGAAGAGGAGATGTCCCCTCTCTAGCGAATAAGCACGCACATTGGAAATTCAAGGTAGTAATGGGATGCCGTAAGGTCATTTAACAGTCCTGAAATGTGTATTTCCTCACAGAGTGCAAAAGAATTTGTGTCAGTAGTCCTCGCATGGTGTAATTTTAGTAGAAGGTAGGACACCCTTCCACAGCTCTAGGTCTCCTATAGAAGCTTGTGGATCTCTGAATCATTAGGGCATTTTTCAAATGCTTGTGCACACAATACCCGTCTGTTTCCAGAAGAGCTGATTGTGGTGGGTAAGTGAAGCCTTGCTCCATCAGAGATCATCCTTTTTATGAGTATTTTGAGCTTCTCTGACCGTAGGGCCATACCTTTATGGGTGTGAAGTTTGGAAGTAACGCTGTCTAGCCTGACCAACTCTTCCTGAAGATGCTGTTTCTCTCACCAGCCCTGATGTTTCAGTTGCTGTCTCATGATCAGCTCAGTCCTAAGGCTGCCTTGTGCTGATGCAGTAAGTAACGTCTTGGTGTTTCATTGTCACCTTCGCAGCTGTTAGAGAGCACCAGTTCCTACAGGATCACCTGCCAGCTGTGATGCTATTCCTTTTACATCACGACTGTGAGATGACACCTCTCCTTGCTGGCAGACGAGCCAGGTGGGTAGGCATTGCTCCTCAGAGCTGTTCCGTATCTAGGGAGGCGAAGGCTGTTGCCTGGTTTAGCGAATAGAAATCAAGGACAGAGTTACAAATAAGGGGCAAAGTGCAGAGCTGTGCCCTATTCCAGCTCTGCTACAGCTGCAGAAAGCAACCTTGGGGGCAAATCCGCTCCACTGCAGCTGTGTTTCCCAGGACAGCCTCACTCTTGTGTGCTGACTTTGTGATAGAGCTTTGTAAAGTGCTTTGGTCTGGCTGGGCAGAGGTTCGTTGCTGATGGAATTGAAGAAGATGCATGCGTATGGGAGGGGGAATCTGAGAGCTTTTTAAGCTTTTTAGAAGTCATCTTGCTCCTGTGTACCATACCCTTCTTTTCCCCTGATGCAAGTAAGGTGGCCCACCATGGGAATATCGGCCTGGAGTATTATGGGTAATACGCAGGTTAATTATGGAGGGGGCAGGAAAAATAGCCTGAGCCATTTTCAACAATATCAAAGGGATGCTACCTAATGATTTTCCTATTAGTTCTTTTCCCAGCCTGCCAGAGTTGCTGCAGAAGTGTCATTTACAAAGGCAGTTTGCAACTCATTACCCTGGATTTTCACTGTAGTTCTGCTCCAGAGAGCGTGGGCTTTTGCTGTGTGCCCCAACCTAATGAATTGCCTGATTTGGTTAGTGCTGCCATCCCTTCTGACAAGGTTAGTTGCTGACTGACAGGAAGGGGCCTGGATTCAATTCCCTTCTTGTTTTCAACTTGCGCTTGTGTCAAGCGCAGGCTCCCTCTGGAAGCTGCCCTGTGATCCCTTTCCTTTGTTTTTCTGCATTCTGAAGGAAGCAGCCCATGCTTGGAGAAGTCCTAGAGCAAGTGCAGGGGCGTGTGTGCTGCTGCCCCCGGCAGTCCCTGCTCGATGCCTCAAGTCCCTTTCCAGCTGGAAAATTCCACTGCTCTCCTGCTCTGGGGCTCTGGGCTTCTCTTTTTCTTCATTGGTTTGGGATTTGCTGTCACCTGCGCTGGGCTTTGTAACCCTTCAGCAATAAATACCTTGGAAAAGCTGAATTAATGGTACCAGGGAAAAACATGCAAAGTGGGCTAGGGGAACAGAACTGATTTCCCACACATTAGAGGGTAACTGTGTCTCTGTTGTGCGAGCTCCAAGGTCTGCTCCAGCCTGTTTAGGCTTCGTGAGGTGCTTGTACAAGAGCACTGGAGAAAGCTCTTGTCCTTTTTCACTAGAGAGCAGAGTGCTTTTTCAGGCTGGGGGCCTATGGCTCATCTCATGCTGGGAATAGCTCCTGGAGAGGGGAAATCAAGGCTGTTCCTGTGTCATGTCACGAGCACTCCTGCTTGGAAGCTGAATGTGGCCACTGCTCGTTCAGCTGGTAGAGCAGGAAATGTGTAGGTCCCGTGGGTGCTAGTTTGACCTGAGTGTGGACAGAGGAGCTTGGGACTGTGTCTATACACCTCTGCTAAAAGCTATTCTCCGAGTCCACTGCTGAAATGTCAGATGCCACCCCCCTGAGGCTGCAGCCTGCATCCAGGACAGCTCTTGCTGTTCAGTTATGCTGTCTCCAGGCTGGGATGTGGTGAGGGAGTTTTCCAGTGCTGGCCATGGATCCTTTTACTGGATGTCATGAGGATTTGACCTAGCTGGCCCACAAGGGAGGCAGTGACTTGAGATCAATTTGTTTCTGTTCCTCCCCTCTTAATGAGATTCTTGTGGCCCCTCTCTTTCCTGCTGGCCTTGTTTCCTACTGAGCCCCTGTCGGGGAGACCCAATTGTGGCCTTATCAGGTGCTCGCTGTGCTCTAATGAGCCGTTTCTGTTTCCAATTCTGGCCTGTCTGAGGAACCAAGGAAGGTGCTTGTCAGCGCTCTGAAAACTGACCTCTACTCACAACACCACTCTCTGCCCGTCAGACCCGCTGGTCTGGCTGTGCCGCATGGGTGCTAAGGTTGAGTGGGTCTGAAAGTTCTCCCAAGTGCTCTTTCACCCCCTGAGTGCTGCCTTTCGTCTCGCATGTCAGCTCACACCCCCATATGGGCATGATGTTCCCATCCTGCAGGTGGGAAACCAGCATGCCGAGGGACAGGGAGACTTATCCCTGGTCAGAGCGGAAGCAGCAAGGCGAGGAGCCAAGCTGTTATCCCCTCCCTCTGCACAGGGAACTCTTGCTCCTATCGCTCTCCTGCCAAACTAGCGTCGTTTGGCAGGGCAGCTTTGTCCTTTTCCTTGGGCTTGCTCTTTTCCAGGGAGCCCAGTGGATGGAAGGAACCTGTGCTGTGGGGCTGCGCTTTTCCCCTCAAACTACGCTGCAGAGGAGAAATGGGAATTCAGACGTGATCTCCCCCACCTGAGCTTGGGTTGTGCCTTGCATAAGTTATCGAATTTTGGGGGCTGAATTCCTGAGACCAAGTTCCCTCTGCTCTGTTGAGGAGAGGCCCTCTGTCACCAGGCAGATGGTTTTATTTCAGCTCTGGCTTTGCAGCAAAAAGCCAAAGCTGGAAGGTGAATTGGCCCCACCTTGGTCCCAGCCTGGCACTGTTGTGGTCACTGCTCTGGCTTCATGCTTGAGGACCAAGAGCCTGAGGGGGACCCACAGTACTGTCTTCTTACACCAACGTTCAGACCTGGTGTGCAAGGTCTGCACAGTAAGTGATTCCTTCTTGTCCCTTAGGTTTGCTGGGTGACAGTGGACAGTCCCCTCTGATGGACATCTCTTTAGGAGCTCCTGGCACAGCCCCTCCTTCGCTCTAAAGGTGTGCGGAGCCGGTAGGGTGACCTTCACGGGTGTTGTATTTGCCTTACAGAGCCCTGACAGTGGGTTGTCATTACCGATGGACATCTCTGGAGGGCTCTAGCTA